CTAACAGCCCCTTATAGACCATTACAAACAAAAGCAGAAATCAGCAACTCTTCTCTACTACACACTGGATACTGCTTGGTGCTGACTGCACGTTGAGCAATAAACAAATCTTAAGAAATTTAAAGTAAAAAACTATCATCTATCAGGTCTTGGCCCAGAAAACAAAGCTAGAAGGCAACAGATGAGAGAAAAATTTAGAAAGTCACAAATACATGGAAGTTAAACCACACCCTCGTAGAATAACCCCTGAGTCAAGGAAGAAATTATGGGAACATAAAGTACCTGGGAACAAAACAAAAGGGAAATCAAAATCTAGAACTAATGGCTGGTAGTAACCAGCTCTAAGACCAAAGTATAAGTAGATGGATTTCTCTGTGATGAAAAAAGTTCTCAAACCATCAAATCAAACATGTCAAAGAAACAAAGAGAGTGAATTGAACCCACAATAAATAGAAGGAAAATAGAAAAAAAGCAGAGCACAAAGAGCTGATCTACAGACTACAACACAAAAACAGGATCAAGAAAACTTGCTTTGTTAGGAGATATTCAAGCGCCAGGGCGATAGCATTGTGGGTAAGTACCTCCCTGATAAGCACCAGAAGGTGTTTTCAATCCCCTTACCACATTCCGTGCCAGCCCCATGTTGAGTCAGCCACCAAAACCAGGGGTGGTACTGTCCTGAGGAATGGGGGAGGGGAGGACTGTGGCAGAACCTCATCTTGTCCCTGCCCCACTCCAAGAACCCTTTGTGATGAGGAGGCCACAGCTCTGTGATGCAGGCCTGGAACCTCTACTTATTCCTAGAGAGAACTCTCAGGGCTCAGTTGCCTGAGAGCAGCGGTGCCATTCAGACGATGGAGAATCTTCTCAATCCTCTGAAAAGCCTTAGTGCCGCATGGCTGAACCCCAGCTCCACTACCTTTGTGATGGATATAATCCTCACCATTGCGTGTGGACTGGGGCTTTTCCTTCTGTTACTACCCTGGCTCCAGGGTGAACCGTCCTTACCACCATATAGGAAAAACAGGAACATCAGAAAAGTAAGAAAGCAATGGCCGTGACTCATCCACATGGCTGACACTGACAAAGGTTCTACAATCTGAGGTACAGGATCTCAGGATAAATCCTGAGGGGACTTCACTGACCTTATCAGACCCAAAAACTACAACTCTTGTTGCATAGTTCTTGCTTTACCTTGGTCTTAACCATCCAGCAGAAAATTATAAAAACGAAATATAAGAAGTAAAGCGATGGTGTTATGTTGAGCTGTAGAGGACTCAGATCAACAATTTCTGACATTGCTGGTGAAGCGGAAGACCCAGTATTATTATGGGCTACTGGACTCTTTTAGAATATTTTGCTGAGTTTACACACCTATAATAATCAAATAACGGAACTTAACAATAAAAGGTGATACAGATCAATATCCATTTTTTATTTCTGTATTGAAAGTGGTTAGGACAGATATACAGTTACATTCCCTTAATGAATAGAGGGATTTGTTCTCATGATTTTTGTAAATAGGATATCATGTCCCCATCTTCTACAGCAATTAACCATTAGGAAGAATGTATGCAATGTGTTAATTATTGAAGCTGTCTTACCAATTAGATTTGACACTGTCTCATTGCTATTTGTTTATCAATAAAATTATGGGGGAACAAAAAAGAAAGGTAAGGAAAGTTCAGCCCATGCCAAATAGAGAACAATTCTCACTTCCTTTTATCAGTTTCTATTTTTGCAAATGAAGAACAGAGAATGCTGAGAGAGAAAATCTAGGAAAGATTAAACATCATAGATCTGGGCCAGGTGGGTAGAAAGAAAGCAGCAGCAGGACAGCTATCTGAGGCTCTAAGACCAAAGGTGTGGTTTCCTGGCCAGGGTAGGGGACCTCAGGGGGACAACTGAATGCCTGAGAGACAAAGCCTTGTGGAAGAACACACCCTCAGCGCTGGTGCATCACCCCTGCTCCTGTCAGGTGCCTCTGCCCAGCCTTTGCTCTGCGCTGGGAACATCTGGGCTTGAGCTCAGGTGTCCATCCTGGGCTAGGGCTGCCTCTGACCCAGAATCCCACCTGGCATCAGAGAGGATGCTCTAAAAATGAGTCTTGAAGAGTGGCATTAAGACACCATGGTAAACCTCACACATGGAGTCCTCTGTGTCTTGCTAGGGAAGGTGAACAAAAAAGATTTTTATATGCATTTTAAAATTGAGTAAAATGAAAGAAAAATCTCAGGCTCATTAATTCACTGGTGAGTACCATAATATTCATGAGTACTGAGTGCTGCATCCTGTCTGAGAGAAAGAGGATAACCAAGCCATGTCCTCTAACTATGTTTTGTTCTGTCTCAGCGCAAACTGCAGATGAGGTGGAAAAGCAGGAGAAGGAAAAGGACTGGCTTTCTCAGAGGTAAGGCTCTGCCTTTCAGTCCTGCAGTCCCAGAACTAAGGTGACTTTGCCTGTCCCTGGGGCATCAAGAATGTAGCTGCAGAGCCTTGAGTTAGGGGCTCCTGGGAGTGGATTCTCCTCAGAGTCCCTGCTCAGAAGGAAGCTGTGCTGGGTCAATGGAAGGTGTTGCCCACTAGGCGGCAGGCAGTGAGTAGTGGAGCCATGGAGCCTGGACCAAGAGGTAGGCCCTCCTGATGCAAGGCCAAGCTGATACAAGTGGCTGAGCCTGATTCCTTTGTGAAATGACCCCACCTGTACAACACAGACAACCATGGGTGTGGAAGGATGTGGAAGCATTTTGTAGTAACAAGGTAATGACCCATTGGTGTACAGTATAACCCCTATCAGCCGGTGTCAGATGATGCTTGAACTCTTGAGCCAACTCTCTTGTGGTGTCCTCTAAGGGGACATTCCCTTCCTTCTCCTGTGAAATGCCAGTCCAAAATTTACCTTTCATCCTTTACAAACCATTTCATTTCTCACGTTTTACGGAAAGCCAGATTTACCAAAGGTTGGACAAGACCCTAACATCCCTATCGACAAGGTAAAGCACTGTCCTGTCCCATTTGTTCCTTCCAAGCCAGACCTATGATGTCAACAAGCAGATATGGACTGTGTTGGGAGGAAGAGATCCTGGGGACGTGGTGTTAGAGGTACCCAGAGGACTGTGAACTTAGGGCACAGCATGGATCCTGGTGCCAATGCGCTCATCCCTGCCCATTGCTGCAGCTAAGACTCCTATTTCTTACAGCTTGCAGATGCTGCTGCCTGACCCAAGGAACTCTCTGCAACCGTCATATGAACACGACCCTGCTGCTGTTGGCACAAGTCCACTTCTAACAACACTTCCACCATATAAGGAGGATATGAGTGCTGCTGCCATGGCTCCCATTGAGCTTGACCCTTCTCTGCTCATTCAGCGCCTTCTACCTCTGCCCTCTTCTGCATCACCAGGCCCAACAGCAGCCTCCTTAGACCTTGGGTGCTCACCGACATCCTTCACAGCCTCTCAGACCCCTGAGCCACTGCTTACCCTAAAAAGACGTTCACCCCCACTGCTTGCACTTCCTCTCCACCCGCCATATCACCATGATCCTACACATCCTCAAAACTCTGGTGGGAATCGAAAGAGAGGCCAGACCAACAGCTCGGTCCTCATCACCTTGCATATATGAAGATGTTGGGGATCCCCTTTGGGCAGACTTGGATCCAGTTCTTCTGGGGTCTGCCCTCCCTGCACAGTGAATCCTTGGTTGCTGCTGCCTGGATCATGCACAATCCTTCTCTGCAGACACCCTCTCTTTTATTTAACCAAATCACAAATGCTGGCCCACATGAATTGGAAGATAAAATGTCCCCACAGCCCCAGTCCTCTCTTAACCACCAAATGCCCTCTTTGGTTCAATCCACCACCAAATCACAAACCAGTTCTCTGCAAAAAGCCCAGTCTCCAGCCCATCTCCAAGCTTTTCCCCCATGCCTCCCTCTGTGTTATCTTCGCCATGGCAGGGCCTGTAAAGCAGCTTGGCCTACACCCCAGGACATTCCACAACAGCTCAGCCCCACTGAAACTCCACACACAGGAAGGTTCTTAATATCACAGGCCCAGAGTGAGTTGGCCTCCCAATCAATGGCCCTGGGCTCTGAGGAGAACTACAGTTCTCTCACTCCAAACCTTTCCCAGGACCACTGGGCCTCTGCCAGCCCTCTTCAGGCTTTTCACTTAGTCCAGAGAACTGCTACCAAGTAGCCCACCATATTAAAAAGTTGGTCATTCAATACCAGCAGAACCTGACCCGCAGGATCCAAGGACCTGTAGAAGTCACAGAGCCTCAGAGTGCCACAGCTCACTCAGGTCAGAGAGAGGATAAACCTGGCCCTTCAGAGTGTTCCTCCGTGTCTCCTGGTGGCTGCAGCAAGGAAGTGCAGGAGGTGAAGCTCCAGAGAGAGGACAGGAATGTGGAGCAAATTCTAGACAATATCCCCAAAGATCCATCGAGGTCCTTGGAAAGAAGTTCAGGGAAGTTTCTGGGGGCAACATCGGCAGAGTGTGAAAGAAATCTCAAAAGAACTACAGAAGATCACAAAAATCACATAGAGCATATCTTGAGAGCACATCTGTGTGTGAAGTCAAAGCCGACCCAGGAGGGATGGATCCCTCTGAAAGTGTGACGGTCCTGGCTTTCTTACAATGGAGGTTTGTTCACCCAGGTAGATACCAAAGATCTGAAATCCCTCAGGAGACAGAACTCTAGCGTGACCACCTGCCAAAACTCCCCTCTCTTAATCCATGTACTCTGAAGACCCTAGAGGTGCATATTACAATGATTTGGGTGAGACACAAATGGCGTCTCCCCCTCAAGCTCCTTAGGGCCATAAACCTCTTTAAAGAGGGAAAATCTCCACTCTCATATTCTCAATATTCTTTGTCTTCCACAGCCATGGGCATGTCCTTTGTTGACTCTAGCGTTGAGCACGCGAAATTCCTAGAACCAACACCTGTAGCAGGTCAAATCAAGGAGGTGACACTTAATGGGTCTGTTCCTACACTGGGCAGACTGCTTGTCTCCTCACCCATGTGTAAGGAGACTGTGACAGCCCAAACAGGGATCTTACCTGATGATGCCCAGGGCTCCGTAAATGCCCCTTCAGCTGGACTGTGCAGTATGCAGCCTTCCCAGAAGTTGATACATGGTCCCTCCAGCATGACCTGCAAGAGCAGAAGCATGCTGGACACAGGCAGAGGCAGCCTAGAAATTTCTGCAGTGCCTGCAATGTGTGGTGTGCAGGCCAGAGCACAGCTAGGGCCTCAGCCAGGCATCGGGAAAGAATTCGAAAATACAATGAAGATACAGTTAAGGAATCAGGCCCAAATCTC